TTCTGTTTCCATATATGTCCACATGTTATCTCTGCCATCATCAGCGGCATATAACTGAGTGCTGCAGTCGTGTGTGTGAGTGACGGTGAGCTGCGTGCAACAGATCAATGATGAGAATTGTGTCTCTGTTGAGTCTCCTCTGGTGTCTGGTGGAGGTCCACTCTCAGACCTTTCCCCGTCTCTCCTTCATGAGGCCAGACTCTGGCCAACATTCCTATGTGGACATCAGTCTAGTGGGGAGACCTGACGTTGGTGGTGGTGACAGGTGTTCAGTGTATCACTGACCTGAGCACATGTTGTGTGGTATGAGGGTCCTCATCGTGGAGACTGGTATTTCCTGACGGAGCTCATACTGGCTTCGCTGGATCATGGTGATACCTTTAGAACAACGTGTAGCTCAGAGAGTTGACCTACGTCGTAGGACACAATGCTAACTCACCAGACTGCATCTATCGCTGTGACATTCCAACTATGCTGTCCATGATGCCCTGACATCTCAGTGAGAGACACCAGTCTATGTGGGACTGTATCCTGACAGTGGAGGTATGAGAAGAGTAACTTACTCTTTATAGAGCTCACTAGCCAAGAGTATACTATACTTGCCAGTACCATGAAATTGATGTGTGACTGTGCTAATGGAGATTCTGCTGCACTTTGTTCAGGAAGTGTTTTAATATCTGGAGGAGTGACATTTGACTCCGAGCCAGCTGACCCTCACCTGTATCTCCACTGGTGGACCTGCTACACTGTCACTTGGACCAGAGACTCCACCACTGTCACCCACGGAACCCAGACTGTGTTGAATGACCCAGTGACTGCACAGTACACCCACACTCTGACTGTGGTTGGGAGACTGGGAAGACTGTACAGATGTACTGTGAGCAACAATAAACCATCTGTGGTCTCTGATACCTTGACTGTGAGAGGTTGGTTGTCTCCACATGCCTTAACTACGTCCTCAATGTAATGTTCTCTAGTTGCCTCAGCTCCTACTAACCTGGTGTTTGAGGTTCAAAGTGATGGTACTAGTGTCCTACTGACCTGGACCCCACCTGATCCACTGGGAGACACCACTGGCTACAGGATCTCCTTCACTGGAGGAGGCAGCAGTGGTAGTGAAGATGTCAGTGGTGGATCTACCAACAGCTACACTCTGACTGGTCTTATAAGAGGGGAGACGTATGACATATCGATTGTAGGCACATCAGATCACATCTCCAGTGAGAGTGTGGAGTTGAGTGTCACTCTAGTTCCTGGTGAGCATTATAACTAGTCGTTTTATTGCCTAATAATAGAAGTCAATAGGTCTGACTGGAGGAGAGAGAAAAGAATAGAACATAATTTATCCTTCAAGTAAAGCATTGTTTTTTTGAAGGGCCATATTTGACAGTGGAAGTGGTAATGATGGGAGTCAGCTCCATTTCCCTGTCATGGAGTGTGTCTGGAGACACAGTGGTGGATTCAGAGGTGGTGTGGCGAGCTATCAGTGGCCCTGGAGACAGAGATTCCAGCGGCTCCATCACATCCACCAGCTACACCATACATGACCTCCAGAAACTCTCTGTCTACAGTGTCACTGTTACCGTCCGCACATCGTCCTCGGGCGATTTCAGTGAATCTGTCATTGCCTTCACAGGTTATAGCTTTTTCTTAGTTTGATATTAAAAGTATTCTTGTCAATACACAGTTCCTGCATGTGGAAGCAGTGGATCATCATCATCGGTAGCAGTAGCTGCTCTTGGTGGTGTGTTGGGAGTGGTGATTGTGACTGCTATAGCAGTGCAGGTTATGGTGATAGTCTTTTTCATGAAGAAACTCCAAAGAGCTGAAGAATACACTACTACTGCTGCACAACTAAAAAGGTAGTTTCTACAAACACTCTGTGTAGTTTGCACAATTTCTGTTGTCTTAACTTTTCATTGTTTTTTTGTTGTCATCTCCTCATTTGCAGAGCTCCTCCTGAGTCATTCAAGACCACCAGTAACGAGGCTTACAGTGTAGTGAGAGGAGAAACTGATGATGCATATGAGACTGTGATGTCTTAACCTTTCACTTCTCACCCCCACTCCACAACCTACATATTCCACTTATAAAAGTTGTTTATACTTGCATAGCTGGCAAGTTTTAGTGTACACATGCTTTATTTGACCAAACACCAAACAATGGAAAAGTTATCTTTGAGGCAGACACACCTGACGAAGTGACTCTACCAGCTGTATTGCTAGTCCTCTGCTAACATAGCGGTGTACCTAGATTTCAAGGCAAAGAACCATTGCCCAGAGATGAAGCTAGCATAGGAGTACTAAGTATATAGGACATTATGGTAATCAGTTTGATGATAATGATTCCAGCCACTGCTCCGTCTTGTCTACTGCGGCATCACGCAACAGTTTCTGTGAAAACAAAATTTTGCCGCTAATTGCATAGATGAGGACCCTGAATGCTGCACAATGGTCACATGATGTGCTTACCTGGGTGCGTTTGCGATAGTTAGAAAACTCTAATTCTACGACTGATTTTCTCTCTCTTCGCTTCCTCCAACTGTTGTTTTAGTGTCTCAATCTCAGCCTCTCGACTCTCCAGCTAAACAAGTATACATCCGAGTGAAATAAACCACCTGAGTGACACAATACCTTGCCGTGGAGTAGCACCACTTCATGTCTCAGTCTCTGCATGAGACTCAGCTGCTCACAGTAACTGGAAATGGCCAGCTCTCTCCTATTGCAATTTCACCCTGTAATCGAGAGAGAGACATTGATGGCGAAGCTCACTCACCAAGATCTGTAGCTGTCCTCACAGAGAGAGAGGCTGGCCATGCTGTTGATACTAGTAGCTGCATCACTACCTGAAGATATAGTACACAGAGGAACACAGTAGCTAAGATATCTAGCTTGAATATACCAATATACCAAGGCCTTCTATTATGTAGCCATTGGAGACTTCGTTTTTTGTGAGTACTTCAGGGAGAATGGAGAGGGAGAGAATTGACTTCCTCGGCATGATAGGGGGTGTACCTTTCCAGTGAGGGTGTTAATCTTGTTGGTGAGTTCGTAGTACATGGCCTTTAGACCCTCATAGCTAGCAGGTGAGCACGTACACATAGAGGGTATATAGCAGGGAGAGAGAGGGTAGAATTGGTTAATGGTGTGTGTTTTGAACAAAAGAGGAAGGAAAGTGCCCTTATTAGTGAAGTGTCATCATTTCAGTCCATGAAAAGTGAGATAAAAGCCGATTTCTGAGAAACTCTATTTGTGGGTCTCCTTATTGTAGGAGTGTCCCCATTCCATACCTTGACATGCGGACGGCAAGTATCCAGGAGTCTAGCTCAGGCTGTGAGAAGGCACTGAGGACATATGTCCTGGAGTCATCATTCTCAAATGCTGCCAGAGAGAGAGAGAGAGAGAAAAGGATAAAGAGGGAGGGAAGTTAAGAGAGATGCAGAGAGGGAGGGAGGGGAGAGGGGGCTGACCGAGGACGAAGGAATAAGGTCGTGTGTCGTGATGAATCCTCTCAACACGACATCTCTCTAGAACAATCACCCCCACCGGCTCTCCACACGACTGCAGGCAAAGTGAGACAGCTCTCAAATATTATCACAAGTAAGATAGTATCTCACTTAGAATATTATAGGGATTGGCTATCATCATAGATGTATGGAGCTATGATTTTGTTATTAGCATAATACTAAGTATGTGTAATGAATATGCACAATATATTCATACATAGTCACTGAGCAAGCTGTGAAGACGGCTAGTGTTGGCAGGGCCTGTAAGTATCCAAATATACTCACAAGCAGCGATTGAGACATGGCGGGAGGGGGAGGAAAGGGGTTTTGACCATTTAATGAGATGTGTACAAACATTACAAATAGACTGACCAATCCACCAACACAAGTAGGTCATAACATTACACAACAACACAAGTACCACATAATGTTATGACCATGTACATTTGATAGTCTGATCCTATTACCAGCTCACTTAGTTCAAATGAGAATTTTAATTGATTTTTCAATCGTCAATACTCCGCTGCGAAAACAATGCAACTTTGCGTGATTATGCAGTATTACGTCATCCAGGGTATGAAATTGATGTGTGTATATAATCATAGGGTGAAGATAGTGGATTTGGAGGTGTGGCCAAACTTTCACATTGCAACACACACACACACTGTTTGTCTATAATGCACAACGTACATATGCTATTGTAGCCTTATTTCCCATGTATACATATGTACTAGCTACAAACCCCTGCACATTATAGCTATAATATATGTACATCCACTGCACACGACATGCAACACTTCACTGGTATATTATACTGTGTACTATGCAGCCACAGGCCAAGCACCGGTGAGCTATACATGTATTGGTCCCATAGACCGACACAGTTTGTATATACAGTCAGTGCTAAGCATACAAAAGCCGAAGCAGCTGTGGTTGAGCAGTGAAGGAGTGGCTGGTTGGGTACGTGGGTTTCTCTCTCACCTCCCATCCTCCCAACTCGTCCACCTTGAAATAGAAGAGTAGGTTTCCCTTCAGTCTGAACCACCTCTGTTTGTAGCCTGCACACAGAGAGAGAGGAGGGTTTATTGATTCTCCACCAGTGAATCATGTATGAATGGAGCTGTGTATCTGTTGCTACGACTGGTAGCTAAACTACATACAATACAGCTAGCTACAGCCTACAGTACGGTTTATACACACGACACATGTCTCAGCATCCGTCGATAAAATACCCTACAGCCTTCGTATGTCCTGTAGATTACGTAGATTATCGTATTGCTACGTGGGAGACGGCGTGATTCGCTCACCCTGTCCTCTCCCCGCACCCTTCTTCTCCAGTAGACCCTCCTTGTCGGGGGAGAACACGCTCGCCCAGGCTCCCAGCTCTTTGTCGTTGAACCTCATCTTTTTCCGTTAGCGCCCACTACATACGTGCGCTTATTCTACGCATGCGCATAACAACACAAAAAGCGAACAGCTGCGAAGACATGTATTCTTGCTTCCACCTAGTGATGTTGAGTCTCCTCTGGTCTCTGGTGGAGGTCCACTCTCAGACCTTTCCTCGTCTCTCCTTCATGAGCCAGACTCTGGCCAACAATTCCTATGTGGACATCAGTCAAGTGGGGAGACCTGATGTTGGAGTGGTGTGAAGGTGTTCAGTGTATCACTGACCTGACCACATGTTGTAGTGGTCCTCAGGGTTCTCATCGTGGAGACTGGTATTTCCCTGATGGAACTAGACTGCCTTTCGCTGCACCTAATGTTGATACTATGAGACTCGGGTACCGCAGGGAGTTGACATACGTCGTAAACAATGATCTAACTCACCAACTGGTATCTATCGCTGTGATATTCCAACTATGCTGTCCATGATGATGATGACATCTCAGTGAGAGACACAGTCTATGTGGGACTGTATACTGCCAGTGGAGGTATGAGAAGAGTAACTTACTCTTTATAGAGCTCACTAGTCAAGAGTATACTATACTTGCCAGTACCATGAAATTGATGTGTGACTGTGCTAATGGGAGATTCTGCTGCACTTTGTTCAGGAGATGTTTCAATATCTGGAGGATTGACATATGACCCTGACCAGGGTACCCTCACCTGTATCTCCACTGGTGGACCTGCTACCACTGTCACTTGGACCAGAGACTCCACCACTGTCACCCAAGGAACCCAGACTGTGTTGAATGACCCAGTGACTGCACAGTACACCCACACTCTGACTGTGACTACTGCAGGACAGTACACCTGTACTGTGGCTAATAACAAGCCATCTTCTGCTTCAGCTAGCACCACTGTAGCAGGTATATACAGTCAGTACTATGTATGTACCCATAAGCCAGTGTTGAGATCGTGCCTAGTCATTGTACATAAGGCCAATGACACATTTTACGTGTGTCTCTATAATGCCTCAGAAATTGTTTTCACCTCCACTCGTAGGGAAAACTGTAGCTGGGTTGCAACTTAGATTGTCACATGACTCCTTGAATGACAACACCACTTAATGGGCATGGAGCACATGTATGCCGTAATGTTTCTATCAAAGGAAACTTTAGATAGTAGAAAGGTTTGGAGTGAAGAACATTGGCCGCCTAGCATGTGTTTAAGAGAGTGATTCATTGTCTGTGCCATGGCTCCTTGTGGTCTGTCATGCATTTTAATTTAGGTCCATCAGCTCCCACTGATGTGACAGCAGTCCAGGATGGTCCCACTAGTATCACAGTGACCTGGACTCCTCCTGCTCCTCTGGATGGTATCACTGGCTACACCATCTCCTACACTGGAGGAGGCAGCAGTGGTAGTGAGACTGTCAGTGGTGGAAACACTATGAGTCACACTCTGACTGGTCTCACCAATGGACAGACCTACACCATACTTCCATTGTAGCAATATCGCCAACTAGACGAACTAGTGCTCCTTTGAAGGTCGAGAATCACATTAGGTTAGACCTAACCTGTTGATATGTTCTGTTGTTACTGACTCATTCTCCATTCATCAGTGGGTGTCCAGAAAACACCAACTGTAAGATATGGACAGCATTGAGACTTCCCTGCCCACCATCACTACTCTCTCCTGGTGCTGTTCCTCCTGATGTCACTGGCTCTGAGGTGAGCTGGGAACCGAACAGAGGCAGATGAGAAGCACAAGTTGGGCAATGCTGAGAGAGACTAGTGGACGACAGCCCTGCAGCCAGACAGCTCCACTATCGACAAGCTGAGAAGTGAACTAGCTATGACATCACTGTCACAGTCTTCACCCTGCGGGAGCTCTTCCACCACCTGTCACTCGCTCTACGATGGGTGGAGGAGTGAGTTTCATAAACAATTTCATCACTATCATTGCCCACCAGTGGTACAAAATATAGAAGAGTGCTGTCAGCCTCGGTGGAATGACAATAACGTGTTTAATTCCTCTTTTGCCGTGACTGTTAGCAGAGAGTACTAGCCTGTGCACGTGACAACACTTCACCATTATCGGTGGAGTAGTGGGTGTTGCCTTTCTGATGCACTCCCGTGCCACTGATGACGGTCCTAGTGGGTAGTCGATTCTAGTGCTGAGTATAAAGTCACATGGGAATTACGCTGGTGCAAACAAGAGGTCGGTACTCATGAAACTCCTATCATTAGTATTAGTAGGATGGCTATTATGTCGTTGTGCTTGATACAGACGTAGTCAGAACGATACAGTTGGAGCTACAAATCTATCAGTGACACGCTCCAGTTCTCAGAGGCACATATGCCGTAGTCTACCGCCCATATTATGAAAGTATCTGTGAGCTGATTTCTATACGCTACTGATGTCTCACGACTCCAGGGATGCGCCAGACGCAGCTCGCAGACAACCAGTAATGAGGCCGGTTACATGTAAGGGAGAGGGACTGGAGGGCAGCTGAAGATGATTAGGAAGTACCCATCAAAGACCTCCTCCCAGCGCGCACCCAGGTGCTCTCTTCAACGCTACTCGCTACTACTGCGGCAGACTATGAACCTGTGTGATCAGAGGTGGACATGGCTCGTGTGCACAGCGCCCGTCCCAGTCTGAACATTGTTTTTGCTAGCATATGCATGTCAATAGCTATATCGTTTGTACACTCAACAGAAGATATTTTGTTTGTAGGTTTATACCAGTTATGTTAACTTTCGTGTGGCATCATTTCACCTGCCTAATATGTGCATGCCGATCACACCAGTCGAGCACCGCAGCATAGCGCCAATTATAGATAGAGCTTGCGCTATCGTGCGACACATTTAGTTGAGTGCACAATGTACAATGTTCAGTGATCGAGTGGCTAACGTACAATGGTGGTACAACTCATCTACTTATGTTGAATCTGCCTCTGGTCTCTGGTGGAGGTCGTGCCTCTCAGAGCTTCCCCTTCGTCATCTCGCTTCAATGGCACGACTCTGTCGCACCATTCCTATGTGAGACCAGTAGTCTGTAGTGGGATGACCTGATGTTGGTGGTGCGGTGTTAAGTGTATCACGGCACTGACCTGGAACATGTTGTGCTAGTAGTGAAGGTGCCTAACGCCGCTGGTAAGACTGTATTTCTATTTCCCTGATGAGATAGAGCTGCCGTTCTCTTAGCGCTGATGTTGATACCTTGAGAGTTCGTGAAGCTCAGTATCCGTCGTAACTACTAGTGCTAACTCACCACTGGTTGTATCTATCAGCTCTGTCTATGTCCAACTATTGCTGTCCCTGATGTAGTATGACATAACGCGGATCATATGAGAGACAACAGTCCTAAATGTGGGTACTGTATACTGCACTGGAGAGATGTGTTGTGTACGGCCTGGTCCGGCATTAGAACGCGAGAAAACACGAGGGAAATACAGTCTGTGTTACAGTGGTCATACAAAAGCAGAAGCATGCTGTGGTGACAAACGTGAAGGGAGTGGCTGGTTGGGGGGTACTTGTGGGTTTTCGTTGCTCTCTCACGGCTCGCCATTCCTCCAACATCGTCGATCCTTGAATAGAATTTAGTTTTCCCTTCGATGTGTGATACCACCTCTGTTTTGAGGCCTGGCACACAGAGAGAGGAGGGTTTTGTGATTCTCACAGCCAGTGAATCATGTATTTATGGGCTGGTGTATTGTATGTTGTTCGTATGCTAGGCGACCAGTATCCAACTACATACTGTTGAAACTGGGGCTGGGGCGCTTGCGCAGATTCTATTTCCTGGGTCCTCAGAATACTATTATTCGTCCACATCTGAACGTGACTACGGTGACAAAAACTGCAAGGCCTTTTATACTGTATCTAAGAATGTTCTTAGAAGTCACCATCGTGCATAGATAGTCCTGAAGAAGCTTGCAAAAGGAATAATAAAAACCGTCTGATAACACAATATTACAGATTAACTATAAGACCAGGCCAAAGTAAGTTCTGTTACAATAAACTATAAACAGAAGAACGAATATACATCATAGATACAACCTTAGTCAATGACAAAAAAGCAAAAACAAGTCTGAAATGCTAATGTGGGTCACAATTTTCCAAAACCCAAACCTTGGCCTTCGTCACTAAATCTGAACAAGACTGAATACGTGCAAATACTTTATACCCCAATAGAAAGGCAACGCAATCAATGTGGCGAAAAAATAGCTATATTTAAACTGATCTTAAAAAAAGAAAAGAGGTATCAAAAATGCCTTTTGTCACAATATAAAAAAATCCTCAAAAAATACAAACTTTTCTCATGTTGGGCAGAAAAAAAAAAATACTCTAAGTCTCCTCTTCTCATTCTGAACCCTGGCTTCGGCGATAAATGATATTTGATATTCATGTGTTTGGCTCTTTCCATGAATTTTTGGTTTGTGGTTCACTTCATATTGGCTGACTTGGTTATCCTTCATAGACAACTTGGGATTTGATGGGGGATGGTTAGCTCGGAGTTTAAGTGTCTTAACCAGATTGTGCCGTCTGTGCATGGCACTGGCTAGTGCGCATCGGTATCCGGCCATCGGCTGTGGATAGGGCCACTTGGTTGTCTTTTATTTGGCTGTGGGCCTAGGCTTACAGTTCCTCGCACTCAGTAGAAGCCATATCGTCTTAGATGTCTGACCGTTCGGGCCGCCTCGTTTAGTTCCGTGGTCGGGCCATGTCGCGGCCATCTAGTCATCGGAGATCACGTCGCAATTGTTTCTGCCTCACTTCATCTCTGTGATTATAGTAGATAGGGGGCCGTGATTTTGAGTTCCTCTTTAGATATCTATTATGCGCTTACTAGGTATGTCGGGTCAATGGTGTTTTGTTAGGGCCCTTTTAGCTAACAAATTCGAGCTAGCATTGGCTGACCAGCAAACGTTACAGATCCGGTCTCGTCCAGGCATGACAAATGAAAGGAGACTTCCATACTGCAGATCTGATAAAGTCCCTGAACCCGAGCATACTCACTCTGCCTCTTCGGAGCTGCCAGTAGTTTGTTGTTACCATCATACTGGGAGTGTTAATCTGGCTGGCATCTTCTCATTCCATATTTTCAAGTAGCATTGGTTGAATAGTTGCTCTGTCGGGCAATCGACCGATTTTGGGCCCCATCCGGGCGGCTCATGTATCTTGTTTTATATGCAACACCAAAGAAGTAGTGAACGAACCCCCAATTCTTTGACTTTGAAAGCTCTTAGTGCTTCTTTCTTTTCAGCTTCTCCTATTCTTTGCTGTTTCTCACCCCGGCTAGATAATGTCGATCGTACAGTAGCACAGCAATCAAAAATGGTTGCTTCGGCTTTGGGGATGTATAGACGAAGGATCACTGGTGCTTTGACTAATAGCCCTGTTTTCCTTGAGTTTTGCATCCAGAACTGTGTTCGGCAAGCATCTTGGGCTAATGCTTAATCGCATAGATGCTGTTTGCTTCGTTTGCACACAAGCTGCGGGGCTAGACATTCTGATGGGGCAAAGCTTCGGTTGTTTCATGTAGGATTTCTTTCTCCGTCTAAATCACACTTTCATAAATGCAGTAGAGCGAAATCCATTTGGTGAAGGCTTATCCATGCCTGGTAGCACTCAGTGCTATTAGCGTTCTGATGATTCAGGTCTGACTGCGACTGTGCTGAAGGTCTCCATCATATCTAGACTAAAAACCATATTTGTCTGGCGAACATCGCTTGGTGGCCGATCAGGCGCTGCTTTATACCTTTCTGGATGCCATCTGCTGTAGTCTTTTTATTTACACACCCATTTACCTCGCCCGACATGCCTTTCTGTCTTTGGTAGCTCCTACTCAGATTCCGACAAATCACTTATCTGGATAGGTACTCTATTATCATTTTTTCATTGGCATCCATCCTAGTGTAGTTTGTCTGGACGTCTCCAGAGGCTTTCGACGGAATGGTCTGTGGTTGGCTCATTGGGTCAGTCTGAGATGAACTATTAGGCCCAGCTGCTCCTATATTAGCCCGGGTTGCGCTTCTTTCTCGGTCTCAGTATCTTCTGCGTGGTGCGGTTGGCAATCTGGTGTGTCTGTATATTGTTTCACAAATCAATCGTCTACTTGGCGTTTCCAGTCAAGTTCACGTATCTTCTCTTGTCTGTCTGCCAACGGGGGGGGGGGAGGGGGGGGGG